TCCTTGTTCCTATTCATCTGAAACATTAACATTATCAATTCGAAGACAATATCATTCATCTTCGTCAACACATCAATCAGGTCGAGGTATACTTTCAATGCATGCATTAAGTTATGGAGTTGTACGTGTTGATCAAGATAATAGTTTAACATCATTAACTATACAAGATGTTGGTCATGTATTACCTGGTGCTATTATTGGTATTGTTAAAATTGATGGACCACCATTACTTTGTCAAACAGATGAAATTGGAGAAGTTGTTATATCATCAAAAGCAACACCAAATGGTTATTGGGCATTACCTGGATTATCAACAAATGTTTTTAAAGTTATACCATTAGGATCGGATGAAAGACCAATTGGTACACAAGAATTTGTTCGATCAGGTTTACTTGGATTTCTTGGACCAGTAAGTATTAATCTTCTTGTTTTGCTTAAATCAATACATATTATCATATATATATTTTAAAAAGAATCTTTCAAGGATATTTTAAACGTTGTTTAACTTGACCTTGTTTGACTAAAATCATTGTTGATCCTCCTTCTTCTTATTTATTTAACTTGATCTTTATTACTTAAAAGATTTTCATTCAGAATACATTTCGAGTTAAAAGTAAATGTCCTAAATCGTACTACATTGACTTGAAGAAGGTCAAGATGAGAGAAACTGAAATTTAGATTATCTTATTAGATTTGTTGAGGCTTGTTTTTATAATGCTAATATTTCTTCCTCTTTTGTTTGATTCAAAAAAATGCAAACAGTTTTCTCCTTGAACGACAATTAAGTATCGACATACTCAATATCTAATTTAAATATTCTTTAGGGTGGCCTTCTATTTGTAACTGGTAGTCGTGAAGGTTTAATGCAAGTGGCTGGTCGTAAACATAATAGTGATGATCTAATTGCAACAGCTCTAGCTGTTGAACCAATGAAAGTTGTTTATCGTGCACGTGTTGTTATTTTTTCTATACGAATTCTACGTGATGAAAGAATAGTTATTGTTGCTGAACAACGACCGGATATTGGTGAAGATGAATGTTTTCAATGGATGAGTCGTGTACTACAAGCTATTGATTCAATACATCAAGTTGGAGTTTATTGTCTTGCTCTATGTCCAGCAAATACTCTACCTAAAGTATTTTTTTTTGAATTTTTATTTTCTATGTATTAGATATTAATTAATTTAATATATTTTTATAGAGTCATTCAGGTATGATTCATGTTCAAGAAACACGTCGACGTTTACTTGAAGGAAATTTACATCCGTGCTCGTATGAAATTAAAAGATTATTGTATATTTAAATATATATATATATATATATTTATCTAGGGTTCTCATGTGTCCACATTCATGTGTACTTAATTTACCTAAACCACGAGAACATCATCCTGAACGGGAAGTTGGTCCTGGTGCTATTTTAGCCGGTACCATTATACAAGGAATGCGTTTAGCTGAAGCAAAAGGTGCTGATATGACATTTAATGACGATCAAGATACATCAGATCAAGGAAAAAAAGTATGAACATCATTCATAACTAATTAAGTTTTCTAATTTTAATATTGATAGTTTCAATATATTGATGATATTCTTCGATGGCGTGCGATAACAATGTCGGATCATATACTTTATTCTGTTATTAACGCGAAAGTTTGTATATTTCTTTTTTTTACAAAAATAAAACATTGTTATTTTATTTAGGGACAAGAATCAGCACATATAACATGTGCAGCAATGCATAAACGTAGTGAACGTATTGCATTAACAATTCTCGATCGTATCGAAATAAAATCATGCGATCATATTGCTCTATTATATCCGCCTTGTGTAGATCTTGTTTCTTCTTTTTATGCTTGTTTATATATTGGTAATTAAAACAATAACTAACTTTTTCTATAAACTCAAAACTGATTATTTTTCTTTTGTCTATGAACAGATGTTGTACCAGTATCTATTCGTCCACCACATGCACAAAATCTTCTAAATACATTATCAACTGTTAAAATGATGGTTGAATTAAGTCAAGCAAAAGTTATATTAACTAATGGTTCAATTGCAAAATTACTTCGATGTAAAGTACGTATATTATTCACGGACTAGTCTGTTTTTGTATTTATTTAATACTAACTTTTATTTTAGGAAGCTGCATCATTACTTGACCCAAAATTATGGCCATTAATAATTGATACAGATGATTTACCTAAACTAAAGAAAAATCAAGTTCTTCCAAAAAAATCAACACCAACTCAAGCTCAATCACTTTGCTATTTGGATTTCAGTATTTCAACAACAGGTTCATTAACTGCTGTGAAGGTATATTGAAAACGATTAATTTTTTTTATTTAAAATTAAAATTTGGATTTTTATAGTTATCATATGGTGCTATTGCTAATTTATGTCGCTCAATCAAATTAGCATGTGAATTATATCCAAGTCGAGAACTTGTTCTTTGTTTGGATCCATATAATGGACTTGGATTAGTGCTCTGGTGTATTATCAGGTAAATACAATTTTAAAAATTAAATAAATTTCGATTTTGATATTTTAATTTTTTTATAGTATCTATGCTGGCCATCATTCAATTCTTATTGATCCGGCTGAAGTTGAACTTAACCCATCAGTATGGATGAATACAATTAGTCATTATAAAAGTAAAATAATTAATTCATTTTTTCGTATTAATAAATATGTTTTTTTAGTTCGTGATACTTTTTGTTCCTACTCGGTGATGGAACTTTGTACAAAAGGATTGAGTACATCCATTGTTGATCTTAAAGTTAGTTAAAATAAATTTAATTTATTTACTATGTAAAAACATATATATTAATTCTCTGTTAGAACCGTGGTTTATCATTATCATGTATTCGAACATGTGCAGTTGTAGCTGAAGAACGACCTCGTTTACAATTATTAAATTCATTTATTAAATTATTTCAAACATTAGGTCTTAATCCTCGAAGTGTTAGTACAACGTTTGGTTGTCGAGTAAACATAGCTATATGTTTACGAGGTGCAAGTGATCCTGACCCAGCTCCTGTCTATGTTGATCAACGAGCATTAAGAAATGATCGTGTAACTCTAGTCGAAAAAGGTAGTCCACATAGTTTATGTTTATTGGAATCAGGAAAAGTAAGTTTTCATAATTATTTTTTCCTCTTGATTTGAATAAACAAAAAAATCAATTTTTTTCTATTAGCTTTTACCGGGTGTTAAAGTTGTTATTGCTAATCCGGAAAGTAAAGGTCAATGTGCAGATGCACATTTAGGTGAATTATGGGTTCAAAGTGGTCATAATTCACTGGGCTGTCAGATAATCAGTTATGGTGATAATCATCAACATCATGGATCGAATCATAATCCAGATCAGTTTTATTCACATATGGCTACGGGTGATACACGACAATTATATGCTAGAACAGGATATTTAGGATTCGTTCGTCGAACAGATTCAATTGCTGCAGATGGAAGTAAGTTAAAAATGAAGAATGAAATTAAGTTATTTATTATTTATCTTTAGAAAATCACGATGCTGTTTATATAGTCGGTTCTCTGGAAGAAACACTTCTTATTCGTGGTATGCGTTATCATCCAACTGATATTGAAAATACAGTTATGCGTACACATAAACGTATTTGTGAATGGTATGATTTACTATTATATTATCATAAAACTTTTTTTTATATTTATTTAAAATTAGTGCTTGTTTTACTTGGACAAATTTACTTGTTGTTGTTGTTGAATATGATGGTCTTGAACAACATTCACTTGATCTTGTACCACTTATAACAAGTGCAATTCTTGAAGAACATTATGTGATTGTTGGTGTTCTTGTCATTGTTGATCCGGGTGTTGTACCGGTCAATTCACGTGGTGAAAAACAACGTATGCACTTACGTGATGGTTTTGTATCTGATCAGCTTGATCCTATATTTGTTGCTTATAATATGTAGCTTTTTCTTATATGTGTACATACATATACGTATCTATAATACTCACCGAATGTTTGGCAGATATTTTTTAATAAAAAAAAAATTTGTTTTGTGAGAAAGACGAAAAAAAACAGTAGTAGTCATTTGGATCTTTGATATTGTTTTTTTTTGTGTTTGTTTTTGCACATAATAAATCTAATAAAATGCACGTATTTCTTATATTGCAGTTCATTGTTTTCTATTTCATTATGTATTCCATTCTATTCTCTTTGCTATGAATTATTACGTTCGTTTCTTTTCTTTTTCATTGAATTGTGACAAGTTTTTTTTCTTTCATATACTATGAAAAATAAAAATATAAAATACGAAATGAGATATCAAGATTGATTGTATGGTCAATACCATTTAAAGAATTTTAGTAGGAGAAAACTATTTTATTTATTATATTTCAAAATATGAGAAAAAAGAAAACAAGTGTGTTTTTATCTTTAAATAATTTAACAATAAGGATGATAATAAGAATAATTTGGTGTATAACCAAAATAAGAAGAATGTTGATATACTTGTGGTGGTTGTTGTTGTTGTGGTTGATCAGAGATATTATAAGAATATGAACTTGATGTAGATGAATTATTACTATCTTCGAGTAAATCAGTTAATACACGAATATATGCTGAAGCCGTTCGAAGTGTTTCAATTTTAGTTAATTTATCTTCTAACATTGTACCATGATTTGATGAATCAGTTGAAGAGTAACATGAAACAGAATCAATTGGTAATAATGTACGTAAATGTTCAAGAGATTCATTGAGTAAACGCATACGAGTACGTTCACGATCATTAGCACGTGAACGACGATGATATTTTAATTGAGTAGCTAAAATTGGATCAGTTACACGTTTACGACCACGACGTGATTTAGTTGGAGGTACAATATCAGGTTTTGAAGAACTATTTACAGAAGAAGAAGAAGCAGAAGCTAGATTATTTCGATATATGGCTTGATTATCCATTGGAGAAATTGTCTCTATTACAATATCGAACTATCGACAGAAAAATAATGATATTACTTCTCGTAGTTCGTTTATATATAAATAATATCTCATAGTTCACTCTAATTTCTTTTTTTTTCTCTTCATTCGGAAAATCTAACTATTGGCTATTAATATGTACATGTGTCCAATCATAGAATTTTTTTCATTACACAGCAGGATTCTACGATCGATAGATCGTTTCGTCTATATAATTATCTATACACAGCACGGTGCCGTTCATGTGCGTCGCACTTGCTCACCTTATTTTTCTCAAACAACAATTGTTAGAAAAGACGGAGAAAATAAGTTGTCAAATAAAATTGAATGTATACTAGATATCAATATATACACATGTTCAAAGAAACTAGTAATTTTATTTTACAATCTTTTTATTAACATTTCAACAATGTGATTTATGTAGAATGTTTCGATCTTGTATATTTATTAAAAAAATGTTGAAAGCGTGATCAACCGTTTTCTTAAGTGATAAGAATATCGATCTAAATAGTTGATCTTGTCTTGTTTTCTTAACACTATAGAAACTGTAAGTGAACACGTGTATAGTTAATAGAAAAATTTTTTTTTCTTGTCGTTAAAATCATCAGGAGGTCGATCACATTTTTCTAGAGTAATACTTGAATTTGACGTTTGAATAACTAATTTGCCATTGGGCATACATACATATCAAAATGAGTTTAGTTCATCTGATAGAATACTGATTTGGTTTTCATGCTGTGTTTGTTCTGTCAATCATTTGTCGTTGATCCAAATAAGTGTAATTATAGATGCGGTTCCATCATATATTGTTTGTTCTTTTAGTTAATATACGCATGTGTCGAAAAAAAAATAGTCAGGTAAAGGCTGTCAACCATAAAAGATGACATACCTTTCAATTACATGAATCAAAATGTTTGATGTTTTTTTTTGATGTTGAACTACTCAATGAAAAAAAAATCAGAAATCTTTTTATTAAATCAAACAATCGATCGATTATAAAAACAATGTTTGTATTTGATTGAAAAAATAAATAAAAATTGATTAATTCTTAGTAAACTTTTGTCAGACGAACTCAAATTTTATTTTATTTATAATACATATTAAGAAGCGTTTCTTATCGAAGGTCTATAAAAACTATTGAATTAATAGTTTTACTCAACTATAGCGTCTTTATTTCGATTAAATTCATCTTATTTGAAAATCTTCATTCACCATATTTGTAGGCCAACATTTGACGTACCCTCTAACCTACTTTAATGAATGTATCTACTTAATTACTAAAGCTGTGAGATAATAAATTATCCAGGTCTTCATATGAAAAGAAACATTATCTACGGAATTTATTAATAAAAAAAAACAATATCACTTCGTAAGAAGATAATCCATTATTATAAAACAAATTAAGCGAATAGTTTCTTTATGGTATAAGACGAACAGACACGTGAAACCAAGAAAGTTTTATGCACTTTTTTTTTATATCTAAACCTTGAAACTTGAATTATATAGAATTTTTTGAAGAAGCATTTGTTATATTAAAAATCAATAGAATAAGAATAATAAATAGTCTTTGATATACTATA